AGATGTCCATTCTTAAAATTAAAAAAAAAAATAATTAAAAACTTCAAAAGTCAGTAACATCAAAACGTACGAATTTTCTACAATTATACAACGATGAATTGGTATGAAATAAGTCAGCCAAAATACGACCAAATGATAGGTTGCATTTACTGAAAAGATCATTATAATGATCATATCATTTACGAAATTTAATGCTGACTTTAAATGAAGTTGTTGAAATCCCTGTTACATCAATTTATTTGTCAGTAGCCTGTTTTGAGTATCCAATAAGTTGGGATACATAAATACCGTGCAGGTGATAGTAAAATATATAGTTAAATAAGGAAAGTTGACAATGAAAAAGCTGAAATCATCTCGTTTGTCATGTTTAGTTGTTAGTTGGCCCTTATCGTCTATAGTCAGTAAAATATCCAAATTTGAAACATGTGACAGATTGTCAAGCAAAGAGTTTTTCAAGATATTGAGCGGACAATATTATCTTATGTCCAAGATAGTTTGACCCTTGTGACTTGAAATTAGTAAGTAACTAGGCTTCATGAACTCATTCGAAGGTGTAAGCGTAATAAGTTAATGTCTGTCATTGGAAGGGTTTTTAATATATTTAGTGGTGGACAACACTGTCTACCGACCTACCGACTGAAAACTGCAAACCAGTATGACCCTTTTTCTCAGGGGGGGGGGGGGGGAGCATGTAATAAAACATTCGATTAGGCCAAAATAAAAATTACCTTTGTTTCCCCTAACGCGACCGACCCACTTAAATCGTGCCGACTGAAAAGTTTTTTTTAATCAGATTATTGAAATATTTTTTTTATTGTTAATCAACTTTATAAAATACAATTTCATCAAAATCCGTTTTTTATCAGAACGGCGGCTTTTGTTTGGTGTCCACACCACGTGGCCACAGAGGGTTAGTTCGTGTTATAAAACAATGGTGACGTATTAATCTTATACATCTTTAACTTATTAGAATCCTTCTAACTCTTGAGACGTCTCGTGAATTAATGTACCATGACTATGGAGTGTTAAGATGGTATTAACAAATGTGTCTTCTAAAATTTACGTACGTAGTACGCATAGCAAAGCCTGCCTCATGAGGAGATGAGGGGCGCTCCTTGTGAATACATATCAAAAATTTCACTGCATTTGATTCGTTTCGATCTAATAAACAGTTCATGTATGATCCCATTTTTACTATATGGGACCATAGGAGTTGTAAATATGTCTTTGTATGATTATTTCATCTTGATAAATAAAATTCAGATGTCGTTTCTTTATTCCTTTCATCTATGGGGTATTAACTCCGTGACTATAAAATTAGATATATGAAACTTTAATCATTTTAGATATGGTTTGGTTGAACTATACATTGTTTATACATGTACACTATTTCCAAATAGTGTTGAAATCTTTAAAATTTGCTTATGGTACGGCTTCCTGAGACGTCCAGTTTATTTTTCTTTAGTTAGGCCCTTGAAAACAGGTTGTTTCTTTGCTTTAAAATACTTTTAGAAATTGTTGAGCCGGTGGAGGGCTCCTAATTTAGACTTTTACTCGGCACTTATGGCCATTGATTATTAAGCATCAGTAAGGGATCTTTTACGTGCCATCTACATGTATACTCCGTCACTGGACTTACGTTTTTTTACGGTCTTATTCGACTGACCGGTCTCCACGTCCCACGTCGGGACCTGTGACTAAGAATAAGCTCCTGAATTACGTCGTGACTCCAAAACGAAACACTAGAATTACTGCGCCACGCAAGGCCCTTGACATTACTCGAAAATCATAGTAGGTTTGAAAAATGTACTCAAATGTCCGATGGTTCTGTATTTGCAAATCTTGTGTTTTTGTAAATATTCGATTTCAATAAATTCACGCTGGCCTGAGATATTTCACAAGTTCAAATGAATAATATTTGTGAATTAATTCACCATACATGTTGCTTCATTTGTATGATATTCGGTTTAAAAATCGGTTTCTTTTGTTCTTTCTTATTTATAAAGATATTATTCAATTTTTCAGAATGTATTTCCAAAACTGCTGTCAGAAAAAAAAAAATAATTTACCTACCTACCGACCCAACTTGAGATTTTGGGGTCGGGTTAGGGGAAACAAAGATATTTTTAATGATGGCCTGAATATCACTTTCCATGACATACCTGAATTTGTAAAATCTTCATTTGATTGTAATTATATGTTTCTGGAATAAAAAGATCTCACAATGACTGAGATCTAGCTAATATGGGGGATGCCTAAGCTTCTTCAAAATTTTATTTATTTCTCTATGCTTATTTGCAACAGCGTTTTCTGGTGCAGAAAAAATACTCCGGGGACCGGAATTTGGACTTGCATTGCAGGAAATCTGCTTAACTTTCCTTAGTGAAATTTTAACATGAAACGTACCATTTTTAGTCCTTCATTTGGCTATATATAATATTTTACTGGACCTCTTGAATAAAAAGAAAATTAATAAAACATATTTGTAGCCCTTGCTTCTCTTTGCAATAGTAGGACGACAGCTTTCTCTTTGATTCCACATTTTATTCTTGATCTTCCTTTTCAGCTATAAAAAGTATACATCCATGTTTCGTCATCCATCACTAAAGTTTATCAAATCTTCTTGTTTGTAAAAATGTTTATTTTCAAATTGACCATCAGCACATTTAACGTGTTTTTTCTCTTAGCCATTTGTAAAGAAATAAGGCACCCATCTGATAGAATAATTGTTAGATTTATTTCATTTGTCAGAACTCTATAAACTGTTATGACGATGAAATGTTTCGTGTTTTTGCAAAGTCTATCAATGGAAATTTGGCATTTTCAAATATCATGTTGCTCACGGCATCGATATTCTTTTCGATCGACCAGTTTGACTGCGATCTTTTAATTGTACTTTTTTTAATTTTAAATTTCTGAATCCATCTGAAAAATATACAGCACGAAAGATTAATCCTTCCACATATCAAAATCATATCTTTAATATGGGTTATTCAGCTATTTATGTAATGAAGCACAGTTTCACATACGCCCTCATTTTCATCTTCTTGGCAGAATTCATTTTTAAACAGTTTATAGTTCAGTGTAGTGACCATGCTTACTTTAAGAGTGAATGCCTTTGCGACAACAATATGAAAAAGCATGGGGTTTTCTGTGATTAATAGTTCTTTAATTTTAAATACTTCTACATTTATTATGATAAACTGTATATTGCATTACTTATTGAATGACCCTCGTACTGTCAAATTACTTGGGAAATGCTGAAGAGATACTAGTATATAATTTTTCTGACGGTTAAAAAAAACTATATAATTCAATCAGATGCAATTAAAAAAAAAACAACATTTTTACCAGAGCTTTGATTGATGTCCTGAAGCAAACTGAACGGAAATCATCTCCAAAGGAAACCTATTTAACGATTTATTTTAGTGAAACTATTCTCGTGAAACTTAAAATATCTATTGTAAAAAAAAAGAATCCTCTTTGAAATTCTAATTACATACCGTTCGTTACAAAACAAGAACTACAAGAAGTTAGTAATCATTTTTTTTGGTTATAACTGTTATTGTTTGGTCGTTTCGGATCTAGATATACTAATATACTAGAAGTGTTGTTGGACTAGGACAGGTCAGGGTAAAGGTAGTATGGTCAAAAATGCAAAAGCATGAAAAACCGTTTCGCCCAATCTGAAAGTTTAAAAATTAGAAAAAGTAGAGATTAAATTTTAAAGTGTCTCTAGGAATAGCGCAGTACATTTGTGTATACACAAGTGTGTTAGAAAGGAAATGTCTTAGTGTTGTGATACAAAAGCCAATGCAGGAATTATTAGCTGCAGGTATATCGACTTGAGATGGAACATTTGTGTTACAAGAGGAAGGTGAAATAGTAAGAAATGAACGTAGATAAGACATGGCAGAGAGAAATGTAATGACATGGTGATGTTATGATAAAACCTACTCTGCGTTTTAAGAATAAAATGAACGCATATAGTTTCAGAAGGAAATTTCGTTCCTGCTGACCTGAAATTGGGGAAACATTTTCTCAATTCATAGCTAGATTGCCTTCTTACTTGCCTCGTTAGATTGAAATATCAATTGATATTTTATTTTAATAAATTAATATTTTATAAATTGAAATATATATTTTCTACTGTTCTTTTGACACTCGTGTGGATCAAAAGTTTCGAACTGGCAGTATTTCTAAAGCATTATGTTCAAAAGACAGCTACGTTGAATGTCAACCAGTACCTTACTGAGAGTTTAAGGTAGTTGGAATACTGTAGTTTGCAATAGTTTCGTCAGAGATGAAATCAAACCTAACGTCATTTTGCTAGCGCAGCAAGCTGATCCTTCATTATCGATAAAAACTGTTCTCAAAAGAAGTTTGGACATCAAGTGATGGTAGCGTTAAATGAACTGAAAAGAAAAGTCTTTATTGGTAAGGTTACCGTTAAATGAAGTGAAAAAAGTCTTTATTGAGAAATGAAGCACCGAGAAAGCGAAATGGTAAAACCTATCCTCGGCTTATTGTTCCTTCACAAGGATCAGTGCACTTAAGCTATGAGAGTTGGATCCCGGTGCTTTGCCAATAATAAATTTCCGAAATTTATAAACTTTTTGAATCAGAATTATTAAACAATATCTTAAGAGCAGGGTTTGATATATTATATCACATAAAAATATTAAATAATGCCGAGCGACACTGGTTTTTGCGACAGGGGTCTAGCAGTTTTGTCACATTTCTATTGTTATTCATATGCATACCAGTTTTCAACGACATTGTTTACATCGAGCCGCAACTTGTCCATTCTTCTCATTTGCACAGAATGTGTATTTTGGTTTAAACTTATACATATCCAAAGGGCAATGTTGGACAATTTGCGGCTCATATGTAATTTTTTAAAAAATTCTCCAAACTACGGTCGGGTTAGCTACTAAATTAATAGGTCACCGAGTGTCAACCTATTTTGACCTGTTTGATATTATAATCACTTTACTCACGTGACATTCCACTGTTTGATATGCTTTCATTGTGTCTATCAATGGACTTCAGGGCTGTACACACGGATATGTATTTAAGTACAAAATCTGACTATGTATAGACTTTTAATACGGTGAATCCTAAGATTTTTCGAATCTTATAAAACTGTATTAAGAATAGGGCAATGCTCTATTTCTTAATACAAGTCTTAACTTACCTTTCATTTTTAAACCTATCAAAAGTACTCATATTGTGGTCATCCTACTTTTATCATAACAAAAAAAAAGCACATGGTAAATAATGGTCGACTTTAGCAGTAAATATATGTTTTATGGGAAGGAGATCAAAAGGAGTAACTATATGTGATTGTAAAAGTTGCTCAAATGCTGCATTATCTATTCTAAAGAAGTTTTTATAACTACTGGGGTCTTCTCTTTGCACCTCATCTATAGTGATGCATTGTGTGCGCGAAGTACATATACGAGTGTACCGCCGCTGTTTCCATTACGATGTTTTTTGTTTTTTGTTTTCAGTTTTAATGCAATGCATAATACGATAACAGATACTGCTAACAGAACCTCGTTTTCCATTATTGAGAGAAAGAGAGAGAGAAATATTGCGAGGGAAACACGTAGAAATCCCTAAAGTCTATTAACAATCTAATAAAACGTACAAACGTGTGTACAGGAAAGTATTATAATACAAATATAATACTTGTATTATACAGTAACTACAAATCTCACCGTTTGTACCGGCCTGAACAACTTCAAAATAATGAAGAATTTTGCGAAAATTTTATTAGGGTCTTAAAGTTTATCTTGTCTTCTTTCACTAAATTGTGTTTTTCGTTTGGTGTTTTGAAGGAAATTCTGGTATTGCCAGTGCAAATCAAGTGCACGATTAGTATGTAGCTGTGTTAGATCATGTCGCCTCTGTATTATGGTCTGCAGGCATCTACAGACACATCCCTAAACACTAGTATCATACCTGACATTATTTGGATTGCAGAAATGATTTTTAAAGAGATATTGAAGACATAAACGAGTGATTATCGATATAGTAACGTTGTAGAATTTTCGTTGACCATGTTTTTTTAATCTGCAATATACCTGTTCCGTCAATAAAATGTCAATTTAAATACAGATAGTTTGTATTTCTTGGAGTTTTCATGTTAACCTAGTGACTCAAATTTTAAGTTAAAATTTTATTTTTCATTTCCGAATGTTATTTATCTATACATGCATATAATAAAATATATATCACCGTGAGTACTACATACATGTATAGTTTGTTTCAATACACGTTTCTGTTACTCTACGTACTACATGTACAGTGAATTACGATTAAATGTAGTGTGACATCTAAGTCATATCATGTGAATCTTTCTTAAAACATACATTCATTCTTTGAATTGAAAAGCATTCAGCATATAAAACGAAAAATGATAAAGAAAAAAGAGGGGGCATTTTTTATCATATACGAAAACTTGAGATTGATCTAATTCGGTGCTAGGCATCAAACATATGGATACGAATCATGAAAATGATCAATATGTATGGCCAGGAATCATTTATTATTTGTGTGAATCATGAAACTACACAATCTTTCTCTCCTCCATTTAAATTCATACTGTAGAATCAATCTGGAAATAATGTGCAAATGTTTACATTCCACTTCCTAGCGATTTGAATATCTCCGCCCATTTGCGGGTACTTTAAATTCGAAAGTGGTCCAGTTCAAATTTCCGGAAATTAAGGCTTATACTTGTTCTTTTCAATGATGTTGTGTGGAATTATAGCAATATGTTTAACAAAAAATTCGAAGTATAAATATCAAAAGCATATGTATGCACAATAATCATAGATTAATTTAGCAATATCGTCTAATTTAAGGCTTAAAATGGGTGGCCGAAAAGGCTCCAAATGACACTCTAAAGTGCACTCATTCTTTCGCCAAGTTTTAACGAAGTTGTTTCACAATAATTCTGTTGTATCGGTCACTTGGCGGTACGAAGGACTAGGATTTTATCAGGATTCTTTTGGCCAAGTATGGAATCAGAGATGAAACGATTTTGTCAGTCTTGTGATACATGTCAGAGAACCGTGTCAACAGGTAATTGAGGTGTGTAACGTTCAGCTACGTAAATGATTTTAATAGATGTATCTTTTAGAAGAGTTATGTAAACAAAGTAAGACTATTTTATTCTCAATTGCATCACTGTTTTTGATTCGGAGACTATGCCAGGTGCTGAAGAACAACAGTTCAATATAAAACATTTAAAACGTTTACTGCTATTCAACCTTGCACGCTGTTGTCTACAAAAGAAGGATCTCAGTTCACAATTATAAACTTTACAGATGATTGAAATCGACCTAGTCCAAGTCTCTTTTTCTAGGTTCAATTTTACGTTTTGAAAAGTTTTATTGCTAGTTTTGAACACAAGTTTCTTATTTTTTTTCTGATCTCTTTAGAGGTTATCACTACAGTATTAATCAAAGGTTTCTAAGCCAGAAGAGCAATTTGTTTCTGCGCACGTTTTTTTTTTTTATATAAAGTAACAAGTTCTGACGTTCACATCTTTAGGGACTACCCTAAGGGAGATTAACAACTTTTTATTGAATATCTTGTACATTAAAGACCCCTTTTCTGATCCGTGCTTTAATATTTTCTCTGTTTCATTCCGTTTTACTATTGTATAAGGAACAGTTGTAATCCACAGATCACCCTTGAAGCCATCTTTTTACAGTTTGTAAAGTAATTCATCATGCCATATTACAACTAATTATGTCTTTTCTGCATCAAAGATTTGCAAATTAATTCCGTCCTTATAATTCTTTTACTTCAAAATAAGCCTCTGAGATTATTAGACCTGCCATCAATGGGGAGTCCCAAAAGTGATCTCTCTTTGCAAAGCATTTTGTCATGGAATTAATATAGGCTCTTAGTACTCTTTATGCACTTTTCGACTACCTTAACAAAAATATACTACACATGTAGTTTACTATAGTATCAAAGTTTTTACTATAGTAAATCAAAGTTTTCATTGTAGTAAATCATAGTTTTCATTGTAGTAAATCAAAGTGATTTTATTGTGAATTTCAAATCATTATATTTTATGCTCTCTAATTCATACATACATACATATTTTATATTACATGTAAATGGAAATAATACAAGTATATTCACATCTTATTTACAAATTTTACATCATTAGCATTGAATTACAGAGATTTTAAGCTTCAAAATCTTTTAAAAAATTCTAAAGTTTTGTAGTAAATCGAAGTATTACTTTAGTTAAATTTAGTAAACTATGGTTAACTTTTTTAAGGAATTTTTTTAGGGTAATCTTTTTGCACGTTTCCAAAACTTTACCAACGAGTGTTGTCATAGTTATTTCTTAGTAGTTGCCTGGTTTGGTTTTATCATTATCTTTCTTAGTCCAGGTATCAGGATGCTAGATATCAGTTAACTTCTGTTACTATTTCAGTTGTTATTTTGTTATCTTTACATTAACTGTCATCAGTTAGTAATCATGTCCTGCTCTGCGGACGTTTTATAACCTTTATTAAAATATTTGATCTCTTGGAATATCAAGGTTCTCAAAATGTCCCGCCCATTCCTAACTTACAAATAGTATGTTTCTCCTTCCACAATAATTTGATCGGTTGTACAACAAGGCTTTTTTTTTTTTTTTTTTTTTTTTTTTTTTGCTTATTCACTAAATTAGTATTAACTTGTGGTATTTCCTATTTGCTTCTTTTTCTTGCTGTGTAGTCCAGCCATCCCAATAGCTAACTCGTGTTTTAAAAACTTGTTGAATTTAATTGCACCTATCACATCAATAGCATATTAAATTGTATTGTTGATTGTATTTTACGCAAACAATGGACACGATTCAAGAAGCTATTCCCAGAGGCAGAAACATACGTATCTTAAAAGCTTAAATTCATCCCATGTGTTTTCGCCAGTTGAATTAACAGCTACATCTGGTGCATCGTTGTTGAAAAATATAAAATTAGCTTTTAAGGTCAAATGATATAGACTATTTTAAATCATGAAAAATACAATTAAATTCATATTTATACATGCATAAGTAAAATAAATAAGTTTAACAGCATAGATTTTAATTTTTCATTCAAAGTTTCATAATAACGTCCTATAAAATGATAAAAGTAATGTATGACATTTATATCGGTGATTACAGAAAGGTACAATTTTGTACATCATAAAAAGTTTACAATTTCGTAATAATCAAGATATTTAATATCTGCATCGTTAACAAACAAAATAGGCCCTAAAGTATATAGCAATCTATACAGGCATTTTTTGGTTTGTATCATCTGTCCTTAAGTTAGATCCTAGATCATGTCAATAAGTTCATTGCATTGTTACCAGTTGGAAAAATTGCTACATAGCTCTATTACCTTTGAATGTATAATAAAAAGTTCGGATATTGCTATATTTTAGTAGCGAAATTTGGGGAGAGCATAAAAATTCTATCAGAAAAATACTGGCCAATTACTCCAAAAAAAAAAAAATTTGTCTGAATTATCGACAATTTGTCTTCATTTTTTGTCTTAATCTCTATAGGGTAAAATACGTGCTTATGTCGGGTTATTTATTGCCTGTTTTTACATTTGTAAAAGTTGGAGAATTGACACAACTGATTACACAATCATTCAAAGATCTGATATTAGAATTGAACAATACAAAAATATTTTTAAAGTGTATTTTCCTTTGAAGTCAACCCTACAACAACTACGATACAGAATACTTTTAGATGGGTGTTTCGTATGCAAATTTACGAAAGCCTATTAGGATTAATCTACGGAGAGAAAAAAAAGAAAGGCGTTATTACGCCTTTTCAAAAGGCGTTATAATTGTTTTCTCGATAATTTTTTTTTTTTTTTTTTTTTTTTTTTGTTTTTTTTGTTTTTTTGTTTTTTGTTTTTTTTTGTTTCAAGCAAGATATCAAAATTGGCTGATGGATGAAATTGTCGGACATTAATCTATTTATGTCCCAAAATATTTTTCTTCTGTTCGAAACACGTTTGCCTTTATATATTTCCCACATCATACCGAAATTTATTTATCAAAATGTTTTGTACTAAATATTGCAGATTGAGTTAGGAAATGTTAGTAAACACAAAGTAGAAAAAAAGGAAACCGAATGGAAATCCAAAGGAACGTAGGAAAAAGCAATATAATTGTCAGTCTGTTTACT